AGGCGACGATGCTAACCACTGATCCACCTTGCAGCCTTTGCAATAAACAGATCCTGTAAAAAGCAGTGACGAACTCGACAACAAGCAACAGTCACGCAACAAAAATGGACTTTTGGCTGAACTGCTGGCTGTGTTTTCACAGAGCAGATCGGAGACAAAAGGGGAGACTGAGAGGAAAACTAAACCGACTGGATCAGTAAAATAGACGCAGCATGACTCCAAAAAAGACACTGAAACTGTGGAGGTTGTAAAAATGTAAATAGTTAAATATCTATAGTTTGTCGAGCCAACGTTTTGTGTCAGGATGGTGGCACCTGTAGGAAAAGTGTTGCACAAGTTGATTCCAGGTTTGTTTTGGTTTTTTTTTTTTTTTTTTGCAAGAAACTTAAAAATGAATAATTAAACAAATTCAGCTTTTGTTTCTTCTCATCATGTCGTGCTGCACAGAAGACTCTTCTGAGGTACAAACTACCTGCAAAAAGATGCAAAACCAACCACAACGAACACAAATAAATCCAAAACTGCTGCAAATAGACAGACATCAAAAGAGAGACACAAAAATGGCCCGAAAGATGCAAAATAACCACAAATCACTGCTAATTCAGTGCAGCCAGAGATACGAGGACCTCTAGGACATGCAGAAGAACAACTACTGGATGGAAATGGCTGCAAAGAGCTCCACAAAGACACCAAACCAACTAAAGAAAGATGCAGAACGACCACAAAGACACCAAATGACCTGAGAGAGATTAAAACCGCTACGAATAATCCATTAGTTCTCAGCTGTTGAATTAATCGGCAACTATTTTGATAACCGATGAATTAATCTGAGTCGTCTTTTAGACTAAATGAGATATTTTCTAAACATCTTTGGGTCGTGGACAAAAAAAAAATACATTTTTTTGACCAAACAGCTGAAAATAATCAACAGATGTATGAAAATAATCGTTGGTTTCAAAGTCTGTGAGAATTTAAAATGTAGTAATTTGGGTTTTTTTGGGACTTTGTTGTTTGCAAACATCTCTTGTCAGACTTCCAGGATGTCGGCCGCGGCTCTGATTCAGGCTCCCAGAGGAGGAAACCGGCCGACGCTTCCTCCTGGATACTCCTGGATAAAAAAAGCAGCATGTTAAATTTAGTCGGGCAGAGCGAGGCCGTTTGTGCAGCTGCTGGCGGAGGTTAGCGTGTCCTTGTCTGGAGGTGTGTTGTTGTGCACGAGTCGGGTCACAGCGACGACGTCCAAGCAGCTGCTGAAACAAACCAGCATCGGTTTGATTCTGACGGCCTCGGACTTGTCACTGTGACGGCGTAACGAGGTGAAGACGAGCTTTTACCGGGTTTTAGTTCATTCAAAGTAGCAGAACTTTAAGTTAAAGTCCTGCATTATGAATTCAGACGCTGACATTTCTACAGACATTTTGAACGTCTCACTGTTGTAATCATGCGTACGGTGAATCCTTTTATTTTGGATTTTCTGCAACTGCATAAAAAACACCATAAAAGACATCAAGACAGGGATTTTAGGAAATAACATTCTGATCCTTGTGACTCGTTAAAACCTGGAATGAAGTTTCTCCTGGAAAATAAACCAGTTATCAGGTCCATGGACAACACAAAGTGGCAGCAGCACCCAGAGAACACTGTAAAATCAACTAAGTGATCGTCTTATAACAACACAATCGTTTTCCATAAATGAAATAGATTTTCTGGCCTCATTTTTACATTCAAGGA